CACAATCACTACACCGAACTAATGGTGACACACGGTTATTAACCTAATTCTTTTGTCTCTACATAAACATACATTTGCATACTGTAGATGGGTGAACACAATCACCTGATTTTGTAAATGTGCCCAATTTTAGGTTAAACACCAAGTTTGCACTTGTCTAAAAATGCTTAAATTTACAAAATGAGCATGCAATAGCAGAAATAATTAAAGTAATGGTCTGTGTTTAATACTAACATTAATTAAAAGAAAATGTGTAATGAATTTAAAAAAACATACTAGAAAGCTGTCACGCTACGGTGAATGAAACGCACAAAGAAGACGATGAACAATGCAAATAGTTTTTAATAATCCACAATAGGGCAAACACAGGTCGGACAGGCAGGATGAACACGTAGGAATATAGTACACCGGACGGGTTCTTAGGAGGAGGACACAAGGAGTGGAGAAGGGATGGTGACAGGGGACGGCAATGGGCTGGCAGGAAGGCAGGAAGACAAGACAGGTGGAGGCTCCGGCGGAGGACGGACACCCGGGAGGATGACGACAACCAAAGTCCAGGGTGGATCAGACAGAGGGAGGAGCCAGGAGGAAGCAGGAGGAGCCAGCCGGGACCCAGGCCAAAGCCCTGATGGCAGGCCACGGTGGAGCCGACGGAGGGAGGAGCCATGGTGGAGGAAGGGCTGACGGCTCCAGGGGGCTGACCGATGGTGGTGGAGCAGGTGGTGGTGGAGCCCGAGGCGGAGAGCCGATGAGCCAGGACGACGGGGCGGAGGCGGGGATCCGGAAGGCCAAGGTGGAGCAGATGGCTCTGGCGACCAAGGCGGAGGCGGGGATCCGGAAGGCCGCGGTGGAGCCGGAGGGAAGGAAGGAGCCTGACAGAGCCAGAGGGACGAGGCGCAGCCGGAGGAGTGGAGTCCCTAGGTGGCAGATGGTTGACTACAGACCAAGGCAGAGCCGGAGGGAAGGAAGGAGCCTGACAGAGCCAGAGGGACGAGGCGCAGCCGGAGGAGTGGAGTCCCTAGGTGGCAGATGGTTGACGACAGACCATGGCAGAGCCCGAGGGACAAGGGAGCCCGGCGAAGCAGGTGGACTGACGGGCCACGGCGGAGAGGAGGGAGCTAGGAGCCATGGTGGAGCCGCTGGGTCGACTGGCCGAGGCGGAGCCCACCATCTGTGCGGCGATGTGATGCCATGTAGTTCTGTTGTGATCTTTGTTTGGAATTATTTTCACTAATGAAATATAACAAAAATAATATTGCATCTACGATGTAAGAGAATTAATATTAATTACTTGTTTATTAAAGTATTGTATTAACTCAGTGTCACATTTTAATGTGACAGTATTGAAGGTAGGGTATGTAACATATATGTAAATATGTAATTTTTCAAAAACACTTTAGAAAACTGATTCGGGCCGAATAGCAAAACAAACTTGTAGCCAATCAGCAATAAGGGGCGTGTCTACTCATGATGTGGAGGAGAGAGCGTTCAGTGCACGGGACGGACATTAGCCGAGCCGAGCGACAGAAAGATAGAGATGGCGGATAGAAAACAAAAGAGGAAAACATCTGCGGAACAATAAGGCAAGGACCCGTGTAAATATCGGATCAGCTTTCCAGCGCTGGAGAGAACTCAAGGAGCGAAGGCCTGCGATCGGACGCCGAGGTTGGTTTGTTTCTTCTCGATAGGTGAGTAACACCGTGTCTACAAAAGCTAAAGTCTGCCTACACTGGACGCGATCAAACGACCGTTGAAAACCATTTGAAATTTGTGTCAGCACGTCATAAATAGAACTCGGCAGCAGTTTTCTGTCGGAGATTTGTTGCGTGCGTCGGATGTAGACATAGTGTCACATTGGTTTTGCTTTGTTTCACAGAACTAATCGGTGCCTGGGTTCCGTACGTATATGTGGGGCGGAGCTATCAAAATAGGGGCAAGACTCTTTTGGGGTAGGGGCGTGTTTGTTTTGGTGATTTCAAATGTGAACATTGGCTACCAGAAATCGCTCACCCTGCCTTTACGGAAGACAGCACTCTTGGTTGGTTATTAGGGCTGCATGATATATCGAAAAAAATGAAATATCGGAATGGTTTGCGATAAATTATCACCATTAATGATGGTCAAATTGTACAAAAAAATTCAGGGGGGATGGTGTGGTCAATTTCTTTTTAAATTTTTTTAATTGAATGAAAAATTAGCCTTATTAAATAACTATTATTAATTAGCTTTTTTTCCTTCTGGGGGCCTAAAATTGAGGAATTTTGGACAATATTGATAATTAATATTTTGTTGAATGTGTTTTTATGCTGGCACCTTGGCTGGTTTAGGCGTGTCATGGGTAAATAAAACCGCCAGTAGGTAATCACCATGTTGCTCTGCACATTTGTGCTCGCACATGTGCTGATATTCAGAAAAGCGCTGTCTGAGCTTCATGAGCGCCGGCTCGCTTCCCCCGTCTGCGCGTCCTGAAGTGCTTGATCAGCGCCGCAGCTCCCCCGACTACAATGTCCAGCAAAACATCAGAATAGTCGAAAACCGGTGAAATATCGGGTGGTGTGTATTTCCGAATGTCCAGCAATTTGTCTCTGGTGAAACTGATTGCAGGGATATAACTAAAGACAGGACAAACTAACAAAAACATAAAAACAACTGCGGAGCACGCCACGGAGGCAGCCATCAGCGTCGGCGCCATCTTGTAATGGCCGACATTGCTTGTGCAATGAATATAAAAACATAAAAACTCGTACATGGGATTTTTTTTTCTTTCATTACTTTTTCTGCATTCTAATAGATTTCATCAGTAGTGAATGCTTTTGGACTCGAGTTTTTATTTTATTTTGCAAAGTCGGTGATGTACTTGATAATGTCAACTCTCCTATCATCTCTCAGTCCCTCACAATCACACATACAATACAATAACATTCTATCAGGGGAATGTCTTTAAAAAGAAGACAACAGAAGGTATGATTTTTCCTTGATTCGAATTTAAAAAATGAAAAAAGTTGCGCTTGAACCATTTTGCAAGAAAAATGATGAAAACTTGCTTTAGCTTGAGCGCAGCTTGTTACAGTACCGAGTTCTGATTGGCCAATCACCATTATTTAGTTCGTAAATTATCATAAGTAGAACATTTTAACATTTAATTTGCATGATAGGTTCTACATAATACACAACATTATTTATCCAAAAAGAAATGGTAAGGGGGGATGGTGGTTTTACTGAGGGGATGCTTTTTGTAATTTTTTTCAACCAGGGGGATACCATCCCCCCTCAATACGAGCCATGGATATGCATGTGATTGAGCTCGGTACGCATGCAGTGAGTGCTAACCGCGCCGGAGCGCGGAACATACACCATTTTGTGTGTGCTACTGTCATCATTACGACCACAAACATATTCTATTACTACTACTACACTTTTCAATAAATTTAATTCAGTCAAGTACATTTAGGTTTATAATGGCTCTGGTTCTCACCTTATTGATGAACAGGAAATGTAGTTTGCGAGTAAAGCTGCAAATTATTTCATTAACCTCAGCTGTCTCCGTAATAATTTTCTGATACATACAAGTGAAAATCAATGTACGCCATACATTATAAATCAATTATTATTAATTATGTTCCACCGATGTTTACGTTCTCTGTCTGTGTATGTGCTATGACTCCTGATCCCGGGGTCCTATGAGGAGCTGGTAGCTGCCTCAATTGTGTCTGTAGTGGTAACAATAGTGATTATATGCTATCGTCTATGACTGAGCAGGTGATTTTTTTGGACTGAGAAAATTAGACTGCTGACAGCTTGGTTATATCATTGGAACACAAATGATCTATTTTCTAGCATCTCAGAACACATGTCTGCTGTGCATCTGCAAAGGTAACTTTTAAAAACAGTCATATGAACAAATAAAACAATTAGTAGTTACCTCTATCCATTTACATATTATCCAAAAATGATCAGAATACAAACTGTATTATGTATAGATATGTTTTATCCAGTGTTGTGTTCCCTCAACCCTAACTTTACTAGAAGTGATGACTATCAATCCACAAAAGCAATATATGCCGTCAGGTTACATATTTAGTACAGTATTTATACATTATTAGAAATATTAAACACTTTTTTAATATAATTAAAATTGATTTGAAAACCACAAAAACTTGACTTCACGTTGAATGTCGGCACCATCAGACAGAAAATCTTACGGTGGTGACAAATTTGTCATTTCTTTCACAGAACAAATGGAGTTCATTTAGTAGCCATTTTGTTTTCTCTGTTGAAGCTAGATGCCAATAGAACCTGCTTCAGGAGAATAAACTGATCTAAATATTTCAAATAATTTGAAACCTTATGAAACACGCATGTGTCACTGAAAATCAACCTTGCTTTGATAGGAGATATCATTAAGGGTTGCTTTTGATAAAACAAATCTTTTCCATCATTAAAAAACATTTGTATCCATTTTATAGCATACGAATGATTGAACACTTCTCTGTGGACACACGGTTTTAGATTTAGTGAGAAGTCAATAAGTGTCAGATTTCATATAATAATGACAAAATTCAGTTGAAGGGGATATGTCAAATACATTCTATTATTAATCCCTCATAACAGTTACAATTGAAAATATTTTCATTTTAAAACCTAATAACAGTTACAACTGCTGGACATATTGTGTCCCATGTCTCAAGAATCAGTGAAAGATTCTTATAACACCAATATGTTGCATTGGTGATGAAGGCCCCCTCCTGTCACACACCAACACCCTTTTATTCTCATAATTTGCTTACTGAAAATGTACTAAAGAATTAACAGTATTGAAGAACTCCATTACAACATATAATATACATTCTCATTGATATCATCAACATATGAATTCATAGATACCAAACATGGTATAAGTGAAGTTACATTAACTACAAATTATATCATAACACATGCATGAAACGATATACAAGAACAGTAATAAAACATATACACATAACGACCTGAGGATGTGAGTGTTCATTCTCAGAAAGGTTTGTCTATGCATTAATCAGAGAAGAGTCCTTTTCTAGAGGAGTCCTTTCCTATGGGGAAATGTAGTGAGAGTTGCTCTGCCCGCATTCCTTTGAGCAATAAAACCAGTGTTATCGGATGATTTGTCACTGGTTGCCATGAAACCAGAGGCCTGTTCTGCCCTTTTGAGGTGTTAGTGAGGTGTTAGTTGCGTTTCGGGGGAAAGATCCATAGACCCTCATAGTTGGTGCTCAAGTCAGTTCAGATCAATAACTGTGAAGTTCATCAGTTTGAAACGACATCAATTCAGCTGTAAACAGTCCTACAAAAAACAGCAATGTAGTTATTCAATTAGAATCAGTTCAGTGTTGATTGAATTCAGTTAGGTAACATGTCAATGTTGCACGATGGGATTCAGCTGTAAAGCAGCTCTACGGAAGATGGTATGCATCATCAAGCTTAAGTGAAACTCAAGATTTGCTTTGTTTCTGGAAGTCTTTCCACAGTGATGGCACATGACAGGCTTCTCTCCGATGTCCCTGCATGATCCCTAGGTTTATCTCGTCTGTAAAACTCATTCCACACTGATGACCTGTGTAAGGCTTTTCTCCAGTGTTAACTCATGTGCCTGTTTAGGGATCCTTTATTTCACTGAGGGGATCTGTTAGGCTTCTCTCTATTGTGAATTTTCATGTGCCTGTCAAGGTTTCCTCGTTGATTGAAACTCTTTCCACACTGTTTGCATGTGTAAGGCTTTTCTCCAGTGTGAACTCTCATGTGCTTGTTAAGGCTTCCTTTTTGAGCGAAACCCTTTCCACACTGTTGGCAGGAAAAACGGCTCTCTGTAGTGTTTTCTCCACTTTGATTCAAACTCTTTCTACACTGAGGGGATCTGTTAGGCTTCTCGTTATTGTGAACTTTCATGTGGCTATTAAGGTTTTTATTTTGACTGAAACTCTTTCCACACCGTTTGCATGTGAAAGGTTTCTCTCCAGTGTGAGTTATCATGTGGCTTTTAAGGTTTCCTTTTTGACTGAAACTCTTTCCACACTGTTTGCATGTGAAAGGCTTCTCTCCAGTGTGAACTCTCATGTGCTTGTTAAGGCTTCCTTTATTAGTGAAACTCATTCCACACGGTTGGCAGGTAAAAAGGCTCTCCGTAGCGTGAATTCTGCTGTTTTTTCCACTTTGATTGAAATTCTTTCCACACTGAGGGGATCTGTTAGGCTTCTTTTTATTGTGAATGTTCATGTGGCGTTTAAGGGATCCAGAGTGACTGAAACTCTTTACACAATAATAGCATGTGAAAGGCTTCTCTCCAGTGTGAATTTTCATGTGCATGTCAAGGCTTCCTTTATTAGTGAAACTCTTTTCACACTGAGGGCATGTGTAAGGCTTCTCTCCAGTGTGAATTTTCATATGCATGTCAAGGCATTTTTTATGAGTGAAACTCTTTCCACACTGTTGACAGGTAAAAAGGCTCTTCAAAGTGTGAATTCGCTTGTGGGCATAAAGGTTTTTTTTTTGCTCGAAACTTTTCCCACACAGATGGCAGGTGAAGGGTTTGTTTCCAGTGTGAACTGTCATGTGGTATTTAAGTTTTAATTTTCCACTGAAACTTCTTCCACACTGTTTGCAGATGAAAGGTTTCTCTCCAGGGTGAACTCTCATGTGAACTTTAAGGTTTCCAGGATTACTGAAACGTCTTCCACACTGTTTGCAGGTGAAAGGCTTCTCTCCAGTGTGAACTTTCATGTGGTTTTTAAGGTTTCCAGGATGACTGAAAATCTTTCCACACTGACAGCATGTGAAAGACTTCTCTCCAGTGTGAGTTCTCATGTGGCTTTTAAGGTTTCCTTTTTGAGTGAAACTCTTTCCACACTGTTTGCAGATGAAAGGCTTCTCTCCAGTGTGAATTCTCATGTGGTTTTTAAGGTTTACAGGATGACTGAAAATCTTTCCACACTGTTGGCAGACGAAAGGCTTCTCTCCAGTGTGCATTCTCATGTGGCTTTTAAGGTGTCTTTTTAGACTGAAACTCTTTCCACACTGTTGGCAGGTGAAAGGCTTCTCTCCAGTGTGCGTTCTCATGTGGCTTTTAAGGTTTCCGTTTTGAGTGAAACTCTTTCCACACTGTTGGCAGGTGAAAGGCTTCTCTCCAGTGTGAATTCTCAAGTGGTTTTTAAGGTTTACAGGATGACTGAAACGCTTTCCACACTGTTGGCAGACGAAAGGCTTCTCTCCAGTGTGGGTTCTCATGTGGAATTTAAGCTTTCCTTGTTGACTGAAACTCTTTCCACACTGAAGGCAAGTGAAATAACTCTTAGTTCCTGTCTTTTGATCTTTTTTTCGTGTGGAAGTCTTTTCAGACTGTAAGGAACAAAAAGATTTTTCTCCGGTTATGAAATCATGAAGATTCTCATACTGATCTTTCTCTTCAGTTTCATTCAGTCCTTCCCTCTCCTCTTTCAGCACCGTTAAGTCTAAAGTGGAAAAACAAACAAATAAAAGTTAACCCCAGTTTAATGGCTCAAAGCAATCAACATCAAAACATGCAGATATGTAATGCATGTATGCTAGATCCTACACCAGGATGTCCAAACCTGATCCTGGTCGGCTGGTGTCCAACACAGTTTAAGCTGACCGTTATTCAATTCATTTTTTTAAAATCTAATAGCAGATTTTAGGAAATCTAGATATAGACTGACCTCTATTATGTGCCTATTTATCTATTTATGTCTCCTAGGGGATAAAATGCAACAAATTTAGAGAGAGAGGGGGTAAAAAGAAAAAAAGTGGGCTAACTCCCCACTCAACAGTCTGATGAAAAATTCATCACACAATAATTCCTTGTGAGGTTTTATTAAGGGGGCAATGTTAGACAATCATAAAAGTCAGCTGTTACACTGACCTTTTAAATGGAAAACACCCCAAAACTGACTGTTTGAGTCAGAGGTTGAGAAACAGGGTGGAAAACAATAAATCATCATAAATACATTTTTCATAAATCACTCAATTTTAAATGTTTTTTGTCCAAGTATTTCTGACAGCTGTATGTTTAACATTAAAACATTACAATCTAAAATGAGTCTTTAAAGCACTAAATTAAAAATGAAATAAATAATAGAAAACAGCCTACATTTTAACTGGGAAGAGGAACAGACATTCACTCATTTGAGCTAGTAATTAGGACTGTATTAGCTAGCTTACATTTGATATACAATTACCACTATGATAAAAATATTCAATTCAATTCAAGTTTATTTGTATAGCGCTTTTTACGATACAAATCGTTGCAAAGCAACTCTACAGAAAATTAAGTTTCTACAATATTTAGTGGTAGTTTATCAGTGGTGACTGTCAGTTTGGCAGAAATGTACGGAAAAATCAAAGACGTAATCAAACGGATGAAGAACACTATTAAGAGCAATTATTATATGATGCAATCAAACTTATAGGAAAATTTGGTAGTTCTGTATGTTTCAGGGTTGGCATCATCTCTTCTCAGGTGTTCTGGATCCAGACTGAAGCTTGTGGCAAAAACAGAAAAACAAATATAGACATAATTAGCGTAGCTGCTGTTCCAACCAAGTAAAATTAATTTGTTTAACCCAAGCTAAAGAATAAGAATGTGGATTTGATCAGACAAAACTGCAGTAAAAGATTTTGAGATGCATTATTTGAATGCTTGGCCAAAGAGACGTGTCTTTAATCTAGATTTAAACAGAGAGAGTGTGTCTGAACCCTGAACGTTATCAGGAAGGCGATTCCAGAGTTTGGGAGCCAAATGCGAAAAAGCTCTACCTCCTTTAGTGGACTAAAGGATTTGCTCTCCTAGGTACTACCAAAAGTCTAGAGTTTTGTGACCTTAGGGAGCGTGATGGATTGTAGCGTGGTAGAAGACTAGTTAGGTACGCAGGAGCTAACCCATTAAGGGTCTTATAGGCAAGTAATAATATTTTGTAACTGATACGGAAATTAATAGGTAGCCAGTGCAGAGACTGTAAAATTGGGGTAATATGATCATATTTTCTTGACCTGGTAAGGACTCTAGCCGCTGCATTTTGGACTACCTGTAGCTTGTTTATTGAAGATGCAGGACAACCACCTAGAAGTGCATTACAATAGTCCAGTCTAGAGGTCATGAATGCATGAACTAGCTTTTCTGCATCAGAAACAGGTAACATGTTTCGTAACTTGGCAGTGTTTCGAAGATGGAAGAATGCTGTTTTTGAAACATGGGAAATATGATTTTCAAAAGACAAGTTACTGTCTAATATAACACCCAGATTTTTGACTGTAGAGGAGGTAACCGTGCATCCGTCTAGTTGCAAATTGTAATCCACGAGATTCGGTGTACTGTCTTTTGGTCCAATAAGTAATACCTCGGTCTTATCCAAATTTAGTAGGAGAAAATGATTGGTCATCCAATCTTTTACATTTTTAACACACTCTGTTAGCTTAGATAATTTAGAAGTTTCATCTGGTCTTGTTGAGATATATAGTTGAGTATCATCAGTAGGGCTGGGTATCGTTCAAAATTTATCGATACCGATACTTTGATACCGGTTCCTGAACGATACTTTTTTCGATACCAATTTTATGAAATCAATTTTAACAAGATTACATTATCTAAAAAAACAAAAAACTTTGGTTTTATTTTTCAGCTTGTTGATGTTTATACAAACTCAGACTCATCTCCTGAGCCACTGCACAAAGGAATAAAATTTAACCAACACAATAAATCAGTGCAAAATAGTTTTAATAAAGCTCAAATAGTCTTCAGTTTACACATCTGTTAGGCTACATTTACACTAGTTAAGTGTTCGTTTTAAAAAGCATAGCTCAGACAGAATCATGATTTCTATTTATTTGTTCTCTCTTCCATGATCGCTGCTCTGACTCAGAGGTAATAACATATTTAATTTCAGCAACATTACATGGCCAAAACACACATTAGATCGCAGGTCCGGATTTACCTATTATTATTAAACAATGTCATCTTTGCATAAAAAATTACATAACTGAGCGAATGACACTTAATGACAGTTGTCATAAACATGCATAAAAAACCTTCATATTCATGACATGAGTCATGTCTTGATTATGTAGGTGTCGTGTCATGATTATGAAGGTGTCATGTCAGTCTTATGCACACCCCTTCAAGTAAAGTGTAACCGTTAAACCTGTATCCTGTCTTCTGAGTAACATTGAGAATATCACTATATATTGTTGCAACACCGCCGCCACGACCAGTCTGACGGGGCTCATGCTTATAACAGCAGCTTGGTGAAGTAGACTCATTTAGACCAATATAATCATTTGGTTTTAGCCAGGTTTCAGTCAAGCAGAGTACATCAAAAGTACTATCTGTGATCATTTCATTTACAATAACTGCTTTGGGTGCGAGTGATCTAATATTTATGAGCCCAAACATTAAAAATAGTTTTTGTTCATTTATTTTACATTTTTCTGGTTTAATCACGATCAAATTTTTTCTAGATCCTGCATTTAATTTATATTTTGATCTCACTATTCAGGGAACAGACACAGTCTTAATAGATTGGACAGCACAAGTACTTCTATCAGTTATGCGGGTAGAACAAAAGCCATCATAGCAGCTATTTGAGAATTGGCTTACTAGTCATATGGAGCGCAGCGTCCTGGAGATGTTGTCCGACAGGAGTCCCGCTACGACTCTTGCTGGGGTGCAGGCCATCAGCACGAAAAAGCCTAGGACACTACCAAAATTTCCCCCAGTTAGGGGGAAAAAAAGCTTTTGGCTTCTCTCCTGAGGCCACATCGAGCAACATATTATGCACGCTTCTTCAAAGAGTAATAAAATAACACGACTATCTTTGAAAAAAAGAGCATAATGTTTAAAATAATGTTTATAAACCATATATAATTAATAAAGTTGCTTAAACAATTAGAGGAAAAAAAAACAGCACCATGCATGTATGTATAGTTTAATACAAAGGACCGAAAACCAATCACAAAGAGTAGGCTACTTTTTTCATTTAAAAACATGTGATAGAGTGGGATGGGGAAAAACCACCATAAAGTCTTGAGACGTTTTTTAAAAGTTGAACTTACATTAATTTTACATGGCTTTCTAAAACATGCCGCTCTCTTGTGCGAGACGTGAGCGCAACGCTGATAGATGTCCCTCTAGAAAATTTGATCAATATGCGCTGTGTGAACGGCTTGGTTTCAGTTTTGATGTAAACAACATCATCTCCACACTGATGCTCTTGTTTTCCACAATATATGGAATGAACAACGTAGCAGCGCCGCATCTAGTGGGTTCAACTGGATAGGCTAACAAAAGCATTAAAATGCAATGACACTTACATGCAAAGCCATTCCTGCAGATGACGTAGGACGTAGGCATCATGCGCACGCCTCTGAGAAATGCAGGAGCAAAGCTTACTTTAGCAAAGGAAAACCAGTCTCTTCTTTTTTTTTCTTTACAAATCCTCATTTTGTGCTTCTAATTCATGACCGGCGTTTTGTTCTCTCTCCACGTACGTCACTAATTGCACAACGCCGACATCCTACGTCATCCGCCAGGACTGCTTCGGTGTACCACAGTCAGCGGAAGTGAGAAAAAAAGTGTTTATTACGTTTGAAATATGGATTTTTGGAAATATGGAAATGTGGAAATGTATCTTACAAAAAGGCACTGATTTGCTACAGAAGGCTTTTATTCACCCCCCGGAGCAGTGTGAGGGACGTTTTATTATGGAAGCGCGCACTTAATTTCACGTCTTCTGGACTGTTGACAAAAAGAACCCGCTTACCCCATTGTAAGGCTTCGAGGGGCCAGGACAATTTTTAATATAACTCTGATTGGATTCGTCTGAAAGAAGAAAGTCATATACACCTAGGATGCTTTGAGGGTGAGTACATCACAGGCTAATTTTCATTTTTGGGTAAACTAACTCTTTAACCGGTTAACCTGCACCTGGACGCCAGTGCACTGAACGCTCTTTGTTTGCACGTGTCAATGTTTACGAATAGATTAAATGAAAATGGACAAAATTCATCTACACAAACTATATTTCTGTCATGACAAATCTAGAAGGGATTGGCATGGTAATGTACATGACAATGTTAATGTAATTGGTCTTGGCGGAATAGATCTGCTACGCTGCTGCTGTGGCAGAGCAAGTACCGAGACTTGCTACTGCCAATACATCCACAACATGCTGCTGTGAGCATGTAAGAAATACTGCTGCTGCAAATATGAAATAACCCCCATATAGCATTCATGAATCACCTCGTAGCAGATCTATAAAGGTGGAGCTGGGGAAGGTGGAGGGTTTCTGAAGCAAGCTGCAACTGCTACGGGAAACCCTAGTCATATATTTGAATGCTGAGCATTGAGCTCATTGGCTACCGATACAGGAGACAACCAGTCAGCTGTGCCATGTGATAATGATGTCATTAGTTCAGATTGAGTTAGACCTATCGGACTGCGCCATCTAGAGTTTCATGCCAGAACTCTGTATATCATTCTAAAGGTCTAAGCCTCAAGCATCGACGTTAGATTGCCATTTCATCGAAATAACGAGTCATAAACGCATCCACACCTGTAAATCCCAGTTTAGTTAGAAAGGTAAGGGTCCACTGAACAACATCCCATAGAGCACTTTTAGTCCAATGAAACAATAACATTGAAATATCTGCTTGATTATATCAAGTATAAATATCTGCCTGTATCTGCATAATTACCATCTGTATGACCGCACATCAGTGTGTGATTACTGGCTGTATTACCGGCTATCAGTGTGAATGTGTTTATATGAATGGCCAATAGTTTGATTATTGACTATATGGCCAGCCATCTGTATGACTGATCGTCAGCAAGTGATTACTGCCTGTATGAGCAGCTATCTGCATGTCTGGCAAATAGAGACATACATAGTTAATTCTTTTTTTTTTTATTACTCAAATTATTCTTATTGTATTTTTCTAGTGCTCAAATAAATCACTTATACAATGTCTAATATTCTGTCTATTGTTATTGTTTTATAATTGAAAAACTATGCAGTAGTATGTATAATGACTAAAATAGTTTGTAGAACCCTTCAAATACATTTAAATATTTAGACAGTCTCAGAAGAATGGTTGCAGGAATCTCATTTTTCATGGCATCTTCGGATTTGAAATATAAACTCATGAGATGTGACTTCAATCCATTACTTTTCTGGATTGCTCCAGGATTGATTTAGTGTATGTTTAGGCTATATGAAATGTAAAAAATTGTACCACACTGATTTTTAAGGCACTTCAGTGTCTATAACTTTTTATCTTTTTGAGCATTATCAACTCTGGATGATGGATAGTAAAGCCCAAAGGGTCTTCTTTCCAAAGACACCAACATTTTGTGTGTAGCACACTGAAGTCAGGAACTGTTACAATTTTAAGTTAGGTAGGTCATTTTCAGCTGCGAAATGGGGGGTGCAGGTTAACAGGCTAAACATTTTAGAAAAAAAAAACTAAACATAAATAGTAGTTCAAACCAATGAGAATGAAGTTGTCTCCAGAAAATCATTTCCCATTCTATCTTTAAGGCTTGGTCCACACGAATACATTTCCATTTAAAAACGCTTTTTTTCTCTCTCTGTTTTGGCCTTCCATCCACACGGAGACGGCATTTTTGTCAAGGAAAACTGAGCTTTTTGAAAACGCTCTCCAAAGTGGATAATTTTGAAAATGTCATTTTTGCGCTGTAGAGTGGACTGTAAAAACAGAGGTATTTGAAAACAATGATGCATGTTTAGTTGTGACGCATATTATACCAATAGAAATCTGTGTTTATGCTGGTATTGTGCCTGTTATGTGCTATTCACTTTCACACTGTTGCCAAAGATGTGTAACTTTGTGCACTCTTCACAGTCCTGCAAAGATGACAGAAAATGTACTCACTATTGCTGTTTGCGGCAAAACACGAGGGCAGTTGCGTTTTAAATCAGACATATAATGGTGAGTGAGAGTGAGGTGAATGGTGAGATATTTTGGTAAATATTTTGGACTCGGAGTAATGCAAGATCACACCGAGAGGGCAAGATTCATCATGGCGGCACGCAGTCACTGAGAGAGCTGTATTCACTATACTAACTGTACAAACTGTAGCAATACTGTGGATTATTATTACATACCGACAACTAAGGATGGGTACCGGAACCCGGTATTTAATCGGTCCCAGGGCTAAATTATGAAAGACTGGAGTATCGATAAGCTCTGACGTTAACGGTTCTGCTATCGGTACTGGAGAAATTAATAAAACATAAATTTATTATTGCTATCTATACATTATCTTGCGAATTACATCTTACCAGAGTCGCCAGCTGTTTATATATGCAATAATATTCAAATATTTGTCTATGATGCATTATTGCTATTAGCAATTCAGAAGAGATCGTGCTCAAGCGGAGGAGCTTCAGCACGCGCAACATGAAAGCCCTGTATAATTATGACAGAAGAGAGAACTGAACATTCAAACATCTGCTTACACTTTAGGCCTGTGGCTGTTTTATTAAGCTAATTTTATTTTTTTATTTCGATTTTGGCTTCAAGGGATTATAGCCGCGTTTCTTTTATCGCAACTTCTTTCCCTTTACAGCGGTGCACGTTCGTTCCTCCCTAAAACCCAAACTTAAAGTCAGAATCAGCACAATCGGTGATTGTTGTAAAATGCTGTCTTATACTGTTGCTAAATTGTGGGACATGTTTAATAATAAAATGTTGAAAGTACAATCCGCACAAGAGACGCTGTTCCCCCAGGCTGAAATGTGTGCGCGTGGCCATATTGAACCATATTGAAAAACTAGAACAATCCAATAACTTGACCAATAACTAGTCAAAACACTCAGCGAAAAGATGGACGCGGCCATAAAAGAAAACAAAATGAAAGAAACCATCCTGGATATTAAACCAGAAGTATGCGTGATAACCTGATTTTCTCTGGTATCCCCGAACACCCATCCGACGATCCCGAAGTGATGATCAGAGACAAGGATGTAACGATTACTGGTTTGACGATAAATCATGATAAAATTCCCCATGGGTTGCCGTCTTATACTGTTGCTAAATTGTGGGACATGTTTAATAATAAAATGTTGAAAGTACAATCCGCACAAGAGACGCTGTTCCCCCAGGCTGAAATGTGTGCGCGTGGCCATATTGAACCATATTGAAAAACTAGAACAATCCAATAACTTGACCAATAACTAGTCAAAACACTCAGCAAAAAGATGGACGCGGCCATAAAAGAAAACAAAATGAAAGAAACCATCCTGGATATTAAACCAGAAGTATGCGTGATAACCTGATTTTCTCTGGTATCCCCGAACACCCATCCGACGATCCCGAAGTGATGATCAGAGATAGGGATGTAACGATTCGATAAATCATGATAAAATTCCCCATGGGTAGTATTACCGTTTCATATTTTAAATATAGCTGCAAGCAGCAATTACGGGGCCAAGCACTCCAAAGGCAAAATGAGGAGCTAAGCATGGCATGGAGCATCAGTCCAAATGCAACAATGAGTAATAAAAGCAATTTTAGGACGATTGTAATTGAATTTAATTGTACAGGTTCCGGAATAAATAGCATTACAATAATCTAAATGGGAAAAGGTGAAAGCATGGACAACTTTTTCTAAGTCACGAGTTGAAAGGAATGATTTTAATTGCGCTATTGCCCTCAAATAAAAAACCAATTCCGAACTACAATATTTGATTATCAAATTTTAACGAGGAATCAAAAATTACTCCCAAATTCTTTACTCTGTCCTGTAGATAACAAGCCCGAGGGCCTAGTGTGTCACTTTCAGCCTTGCTAAAAACTGTGCCAACAGTACCAAGATTATCAGCCAACCAATCTTTCACTGCATCCAGACACTTACGAAGTGTTACACAGGAATCATTACAATTAGGTCTTAAAGGCAAATAGATCTGCGTGTCATCTGCATATAGGTGATAAGAAATGTCATATTTTTTAAAATCCTTCCCAATGGGAGCATATATAATGAGAACAAAACAGGGCCCAATATGGACCCTCCGGGTACCCCACTGGTAAGAATATGAAAAACAATTACCAACTTTTACGGTAAAAGATCTTTGCTTTAAATAGGATGCAAACCATGTATAAACTGTTCCTTGGATTCTGACAAAGCATTTTTGCATGCTTTTCGTAGAATTCGTTCACACGTTATTCGAGAACGGTCTGACGAATCAACTTTAATTCCATAACTTTTTGCCAGCATGGTCTAAAGATGATCTGAGCCAATTTTGGTGAAAATCGGACGAACCGTCTAGGACAAGTTTGAAAAAGTAGGTTTTTCAAACAAAAATGCCAAAAAAACGAAACCTTACGATTTTACAATTTTCTTTCAGACTTCATTCGACTCGGCATTCGACCAAGGATTAAGAAGAAAAAATTATTTTCCTTCTGTGGAGTACGGTTCAAAAGTTATTCGCAGAAACATGGACAAGTGGTGGCGCTAGAGTTTGAGATAGAGACTCCAAATTTGCTATGGTTAATGTTGAGATTGCCCTCTATCAGTGTGCCAAATTTCACAACTTTCCCTCAAGCAGTTCTATAGGTTGCCAGACTGCAAAAAATGCTTTTCTAGTTTAGAATTTTTGTCGTTTCCAGACAAAATATCTAAAACTTCTTAAATCAAGAAGGATTTTCTAGACAAGTACAAATTATTGTCTTGTTTTCAGAAAAAACAAGTCAAAATTAAGCAAGTTTTTTTGCTTGAAACAAGCAAAATAATTTGCCAATGGGGTAAGCAAAATAATCTTGTTTTCTTTTTGAAATAAAAAATATTTTTTTTAGGCTAATTCCATATTATTGTCACAACTTAAATGCATGATGTCATAATAACAAATGCCCAGTGTGAAAGCAGGATCTTCTCAGCTGCACTTAAAGGCAGCCGTAGCATTTGTCATGTGATCTCAACATTTCTACACTCGTGTGACATTCGGGCATTTTAATAAGGATCAGATGAGTGAGTTCAGCTTTGAGAATGAAAACCAACCTGTTGGTTCCTCAGTATCTTCATGTTTGACTCTGAATGCTTCTTCACACTTCTTGTCTTCACTCTCCACTTTAATAAACGCCATCTTTGTTTGTTCCTCAGTATCTTCATGTTTGGCTCTGAATGTTTCTTCAATCTTCATGTCTTCACTCTCCTCTTTAATAAACTCCATCTTTGTTTGTTCCTCAGTATCTTCATGTTTGGCTCTGAATGTTTCTTCAATCTTCTTGTCTTCACTCTCCACTTTAATAAACGCCATCTTTGTTTGTTCCTCAGTATCTTCATGTTTGACTCTGAATGCTTCTTCAATCTTCATGTCTTCACTCTCCTCTTTAATAAACTCCATTTAATAAACGCCATCTTTGTTTGTTCCTCAGTATCTTCATGTTTGGCTCTGAATGCTTCTTCAATCTTCATGTCTTCACTCTCCTCTTTAATAAACTCCATCTTTGTTTGTTCCTCAGTATCTTCATGTTTGGCTCTGAATGTTTCTTCAATCTTCTTGTCTTCACTCTCCACTTTAATAAACGCCATCTTTGTTTGTTCCTCAGTATCTTCATGTTTGACTCTGAATGCTTCTTCAATCTTCATGTCTTCACTCTCCTCTTTAATAAACGCCATCTTTGTTGGTTCCTCAGTATCTTCATGTTTGGCTCTGAATATTTCTTCACTCTTCAGGTCTTCACTCTCCTCTTTAATAAACACCATCTTTATAATCGTGCGTCACGTGGATCTCAAGAGTTTTTCAGTGTTTTTGGACACTTTGTCCTGTTTAAGATGAGAATAATTAACAGAAAGAAAATAAATATAAATGTAAACTAAATCTCAATCAGCTCCCTACTTAGTCAGCACACTGGTAAGGAAGTCAATCTGAGCTGCGTTTCCCAAAAGCATTGTAAGCTTAAATACATCATGGGGTCTCCAACCTTTTTGTGAGTGAGGGCTCCCGGAAGGAGTAAAATAGTCTCAAGGGTTACTTGTTTGATATACTCCAATATAGGGGTGCACGATAAACCGCATGCGATATTTAATACGCATCTTCTCAGTAAAGCCGGTTCTGTAATCAGCGGTAAATCTCCATCACCTGCGCGCTTTCACATGGAGCAGCATTACACAGTGCCATTGTTCACTGACAAGCTGGGCAAAATATGCACAAACTATGATTGTGGCTATATATATATATATATATATATATATATATATATATATATATATATATAGATAGATAGATATATAGGAGGAGAAAAATT